ATATATATATATATATCGATTTTTAATCAAAAAGTGCTTTATGTGGCTATTTAAAAAAAGATGGCTTCATTCATCGTATTTATTTTCGGAATTTTTCTGTTACTTTCGTCTGCGCTGCCTCCATCACATACTTATCTACTATCATAAACGTAATTTTAAATTAGTAAGACCCTTCAATGGGTTTTACTTTTTCTGCCTCTGTTTAATTTTCCATTGTCTCCTATTTGATTCTCGTTCACAACACCTAACTTGAAGACATACTTTTCAAATATCACAATCGGGTTTTTGTTTCAATTTTGATATAATCTCATTTGTAGTTTATCTTTACATAACCAAACCTTTTGACTAATTGAGCGTTTTTAATTTTCATTCAGTTGTGCATTTTACTAAGTAATGTATTTTTATTGCATGTAGTGCGTGAAAATTTTATATATTGGCGATGTGTCTAGTTTTGTTGTGTGCAATGCACTCCGTGATCTACTGATCCAGGTCCATTACATTTTTTTTCTTATTATCTATTCTATATTTAGCCACAGCAACACCACTCTATCATCTCAAATTTTTCTGGCGCATGTGTCGGACCTGGATGTCTTAGAAGCCCTTCACTTGCCACTGTCAGTAACCTCACAAACACACTCTACTCAGCCACAACGGGACCATTGGCTGCCACTACAAGACAACAAGCACCGAACGTTGCCCGATCTCCTACTGCCTCTTCTGCTCCAACTTTATCGCAAGTACTGACACCGTCAGCTTCAACACTTGCTTCACCATCAACAGCATCAGCTTCTAACCCTTTCAGTCAAGTCGCCGTTTCGGGCCAGACGTCAATTTCTCTGCCAGCAGGCGCGAGGACCACACTTGTCTCACTCGGTCTACCGACTTGTCAGCCTGTCCAAGGACCAGCTACGAATCAAGCGCCTATGCAATACAGGCGCCTCTCACTCTCCACTGCTACCACAGCTGTTGCGACTAGCCTTGTGCCTACTGTCACCTGTGTTGTTTCGTCTGCCGCATTTCCCACTGCTTTGCCATCGGAGCCGGCTTCATTGACTGCTACCACCCATCTCAGGCCACTCTATCCTGCTGTGTCCAGTAGTCAACTTTCAATAGCAAATGCCGTCATTTCGAGCCCAGCCCCGCCACTTGTTAGCCCGCCGGCTACGCCAATCGGTTCTGGCCACCATCAGCTACTCCCATAGGATTACGAACCTGAGTTAACTGATTGCTTTAAGCAAACAAGTACACACAAATGCATACATTTATACATATATATATATATATATACTCAGCCACATGCATATGAAGCATTCTAATTTTTGGCTAAGTTACCTGAATTCTTATCACACTTTCAGCTCTTAATTCGCTTCACCCCAGTCCAGAAGCATTCGCTCTTGACCCTCTTTTCTAGCCGTTCACCCATTCCTAGCATCCTTCCCTCGATCCTGCATTCAGTCAGCGCCTCGTGAGCCTCCTGCCTTTACTGGGCCTGGATTGTGATAGTATTTTATTTGACCTTTAGTCTGGGTCTCTTAACTTCTGCC